GACTAATTAGTAATGCATGTCCAACACGAGGACTAAGTGAAAAAAAATGTCCAACACGAGGACTAATTAGTAATGAAAATATAAACACTGCAATCTAATACCCGATAAACAAGGCAACTTCTCATATTCAAGAATGATAAACAGTACCCTCGAACATATGAACACAGTCTATATATATATATACACACAGCAGGTGATTTAACAGAAACACAAATAAGACAAGAAAGACTTCGATGAGTCGACTCGTGCTCAGTTATGAGTCAACTCATGTCTCATGGGTCGACTCATGATCTGTTACGAGTCGACTCAGCAGAAGACATATGATAACAGGAAATGACTTCGTGAGTCGACTCATGGTTAGTTATGAGTCGACTCATGACTTATGGGTCGATTCCAACTCGTCCATCTCGATCTATACTTCCACTATACTGATCTACGCCTCCTTAACTATCAATTCTAAACTATGAGGCAGTGAAAGAATTCGTACATGGCATGAGAAAAGATTACTTGCATGTTAAACCTAACATTTAACCCCTAAACATGAAAGAGAGCATTTAATCAACATAAAACTTATATTTTTATTTCCTTAAATAAAATTCCAGATCTGGGTTTTCATCAAAAACTTGTTGGTGGGGATTTAAATCCGAAATACATGATTTCTAATATGTACCCTAACAAGGATATTGATTTATACTTGAAAATAAGTCTTAGGCTCAATAAAACTTATGGAAAACAGTTGTGAACTATTAAAAACATGGGAGAAGGGTTGGGCGAGATGTTACTCGCCTTAGAAGTGATGATGAACAATCCCCTTCGCTGCAATCCAAAAGAAACTGCCGAAAAATCCCTTGAAACGTCCCAAAATCACCAAGAACGCCTAGGGTTTTAGAGAGGAGAGAGAGAGAGTCTAGGGTTTCTGAGGAGAACTGATGAAAATGAAGTGTTTTCGGGTAGAGGGGAATATATACGAGTGGATAAAACCCGACCCGAAACCCAACAGACCCGACCCAGAAAAACCAGAAAGACCCCGATGAGTCGACTCATGACAGTCATGGGTCGACTCATGACTCATGGGTCGACTCATGACTCATGGGTCGACTCATCATATTTTGAGTCGACTCAACAGAGACTAAATGGCAACAGGACTCGATTTCGTCAGTCGACTCATGACAGTCATGGGTCGACTCATGGGCTAGAAACTGCATACTATGACTCAGCTGCATATGATTTGAAATCTTGCACACTCAACCTCATTACTGATGTACATATACATACTCAAAAATCTACGGGGTCTTACATTAGTGAAGCTATATGGCACTTAACTAATGCAATTTACCCTTACTTTTTCATTCATTAGAAACCAGCTGGTCGTACAAAAGTTGCTTCTACAGCAAAATTATAAGCATCATTTCCTATTCATGTCTACAATACAAATTTCATTTCAATCATAATTCAACAGGGACCCTACATAAGCTCCATGACATTAGTAAAAAACATAGCATCTTAAACGGATTATTTTAGACGGAAAAATTTTCATCTAGGATGACGACAATATCAACGAAAAACATCCGTCTACGATGAATCATCCTACATGAAAATTTCCTTTAAAAAGATGGGTTCAATCTTCCTAGACGGAAATTTTCTTCTAGGATACTTCCTAAACGAAAGTTTCCGTCTAGGAAGGTGGGACCCACGCAAAGAAAAATAAAACACCAAGTTGCCCTAGTTTTTGAAAATTTGCCCCAAATTTAAAATTTTCCTAGACGTGAGCCTTCCACCCCTTTCTCTCCCACCTCGATAGGATGGCGTTCCCGTACTCCAGCACCTAGCTCTCCGCGAACACGAACCTCATCCCCAGGCCCTCCGACAGCGGCCTCCAAATCTATCTCACACTGCTCCTCTACCAAATACTCCAGCCTCTCATCCACCCGGTGCTCGACTTCCACAAGGCCGTGATATCTAATTCTGTAAGATCTTGCAAACCATCATCATCAATCTATAGTTCACTATCACCTCTCATTCTCTTGGATGATCATGAGGAGTGATCCTTTTCTTTAGCTATTTCAACTTATGCTTTCTGGCTTATAAATGTATTGACATAGCAATTACACCACTCTCGCCTCAACGCCCCAGCACATGATTATATATATATATACTACTTATATATACTCACCTATACTATATATCCTATATTCACTATACCCTACCCTTATTAATCGGCGTATCCACTTGCTCCCCACTCACGGAGGGGCCATTTCCCTCGCTTGACGCCTCTCAAACATCACATTCGATTAGCGACACTACTTGATGGAATCGATCCGGCTCCGTTACCAACTTGATATACATATTCTAAAACCTCCCGAACACCTCCCCCCGCAAGTTGGGGTGAACTCCGTCGTCGTTTTGACCCTTCATCCCACTCGTCAGCAATTTCAACTGGATTTTGAAATGAATACGAACATTCTACATGCGCTCGATAGACGGTCCACCCGCCGACCGGATTCACCTCAAACCTTCGGTGTCGTTAGGGGTTTTAGAACTATGTAGATCAAGTTGCAACGGCGAGGCGGATCATCCCACAATTGTCGGCTCAATCACTGTGATTTTATCAGGGCCGTCAAGGACGGAAATCCCCTCCACTCGCACAACATGATACCATGTAATCTCACATACATATACTATACTATACTCATATTATATATAGATATATGCTACTACTATACCTATATCACTACCCTACTATATCACTATATACTATATATATATATATATATATATATATGAGATTAATGCGTATCCTTGTCATGGGAGGGGATTTCCTCCTATGACGCCTCTAAAATCACATGATTGAGCGACATTGTGGATGATCCGCTCCGTTGAACTTGATCTACATATTCTAAAATCCCAACACACCAAGTTTGGGATGAATCCGTCATCGTTTGACCCTCCATCGAGCCATGTGAAAAGTTCTATTCATTCAAAACCGTTAAAATTGATACGAGTGGATGAAGGGTCAAACGACGACATGTTCACCCCAAACTTGTTGTGTTGAGGTTTTAGAATATGTAGATCAAGTTCAACGGAGCGGATCATCCATAATGTCGCTCAATCATGTGATTTTAGAGGTGTCAAGGAGGAAATCCGCGGTCTTACGTGCGTGGAAGATCAACACACGCAAAGACAGCATCAAGTCAATCGACTGGCCCTTGGGAATCAGTCGACTGACACTTGATCAGTCGACTGGTTTCCCATCAGTCGACCGAACAGCAAACGTGCACGAACATGTACAAACAACAAGTCTCAATCGGTCGACCGATACATATGTCGGTCGACCGACCTGAGAGAAAACTCAATTTTCCTGAAGATCGATCGGTCGACTGATCCTTCTGATCAGTCGACCGACCCGATGACGAATCGAAGTCGACAGATTTCTCAAAAATTCACAAAAGTCAAAAATTCTTCGAAAGTAACTCATGTTTTAATTCTTCATTATGGTATATAAGGTTTACTTTGATATATGAAACCACATGCATAAATTTGAGGGGATCTAACAACCCTAAACATGATTATGGTTGTAAAAATTCATCCTGAAACAATTAAACTAGCAATATATCAAATATTAATCTTTAACCCTAATTAAAGAATTCGTTTTCTTAAACTTTTAAGTTCAGAAATTAGAAACGCCTAACCCCCCAACCTCCCCCACCTCCCGCCGCGCCAAACAAAACATCGTCATCTCTCCCCTTTCTCCTCCTCTCTCTCCCCAAACTCAATCTTTCATGCCAATGACCACAAAACTCAAGCGCCCTAACTCATTAACCTTTCTCCTCTCTCTCCCTCGCCTTTCCTCTTTTCTTTATCTCCCCAAACTCAATAC